CTCGGTTACTGGGTGAGATAATCGGATCATAACTGTGCTATCATTTGTTGTGATGAGGAGTGACTTGACTTCTGAATGTATTTATCGGGAGGTCATGTTAACGTCATAATTCATGTATGATCATGACGCGTCAAATTCAGTATAACATTGCAGCGCTTTCCATTAATATTTTAATAAATTCTGAGTGGAACTCTGGAAAATTTTGGCAAACGCCAATGCTTCTCCTAGAATCGCTGAAGGATTGAAAATTGTCATGTTGGACATTACAGAGATTGCCTGTTCTTGGTTTTTATCGGGAGGGATCGATCTGAAAAGTAATTTGTTTACTAATGATTTCTATTTTCTAATAAGCCATATATTACGCTATGCCTTACGCTCTCTCTAAAAATTTCTACTATAACACTAAAAATAATAAACTATGATTTCCCTAAATTTTCTGTCTTAGATTTTCCAACAAATAGTGAATAAGTATATACAGAAGAAAAAAACGAGAAAAATTCCGCCCAAAGACTTCTATAGATTACAAAAATTGTAAATTGAAAATTAACTTGTTTTCATTTCAAGTGAGAATAATAATGATAAATTAATTGATCAAGTTTTTTTTTGGTGTAGCGAAAGCGCTAGGTTTTTCTACGGAATCAATTACCTTTTCCAACGACCTTCAGTCCAGCGCGGCTTTTCTCCAGAATTTCTTCCCACCTACAAGAGTCAAAAACCACGGCATCTCTCTTAGAAAGTCCCCCACCCTCATATATGTACCCAGGAGGAACATTAAAAAGCAGAACTTGTTGTTCCAGCTCAATCCCAATAGTCTCGTGAATAAAATATTTGAGTTCTCCAACAGTGACGTCAGCTGGAACGTTGACGAATCTCAATTTATTGAGAGGCCACTCGATCTCCACCCGAAACCGTTTCTGGACGATTCTTTTTTTCTTATCTATAAATACTTTCTTCGGACATCGCCAATTCTCGTGGTTGAGATTTTCAAAATCCTCGAAGAATGCGATCCACTCTAAATAGCTCGCAAGGAATTCCAATTCCACGTCTAAATTTTCGTTTCTCACCTTGTAGGGCTTTACTTCACACCCGGACTGATAATTCATCGCGAAGTACCACCTGTTATCGTCTATTATTACCGTATTCCGAGACGAAAACCATGGGAACTTCCTCCAGATGAACTCCAGAGGCTTCAGAATTCCAGATCCATACTGGACAGTCTTCACTACGATCATCTCTCGGACTGTCAAGTGAAGGGCGATTCTGCAATGATTCCATTAAATCTTCCTACTCCCCTATGTTCCCTCTTTTTAAATATTTCATTCTCTAAAACTCTCCCGTACCGCCAATTACATTCTAATAAATTAATCTGATGATTGTGCTTAATGAAAATAATAATAATTACAGCTCGTAATCGTTATAAGTAGTTCTTCAAAAAAAATATCAGAAAATTGAGTTAGGATTACCTGTAATTATCGTCATTAATTATCCCCATTTTCCCCAGGGCCTCTGATGAATCTTCTACACTCATATCAGACCAGATAACGATATCGTAATACCGATATGCTCGGGTTAATAATTGAGATAAATGCGGGCGCCTTGCTTTGACGGAGGGAAAGGATGGAAACTCCGGGTCGCAGAGGGTGTAACCGAGGTCTAACACCAGAAGTTTTTTTCCATCTCTCCAGGGGTTCAAAAGTTTGATTTCATGCCTTGCTAAGTTTTTCGTCATCTCAGCACTGTAGACCTCCGGGCTTACCAGGTCGACCTTTTCGATTTCATTTTTAGTCTTGTCTTTTTCCACAAATGTCAGAGTTTTCGAAATTTTCTGGGAAGTATGACCCTCTCTTCTTTGATAGGGCAAATCCGGAAGATCGATTGCTGACAGAAGATGTAAGACTATTTGAGGAACTGGAGAGAGAGCACTCATAGTGGTTTCATCTTCGGTTTTGATCGCTGGAAAAGGAGAGAATTTTTATGTTTTGCTCATGCCAACAGGCCCCTGTTAATATTAATATGCTCATTAATAACAATTTAATTAGTAGAAAATTTTTATCCCTGCAATGTTTTTATTTATTCAGCAAATAAAACGGACGAATGAATCAACTAATCTAATTACAATATGATTTTTTTTTCAGGTCGATTTTTGCCAAGAATGAGCTCATAGTGAAAAAAATAAAACGAATAAATTTTGAAACGTCTTGAATGGCTTTCACGAACCTCTCTCGAAGAACTTGATGCCCCGTCTGCTGATGTTGAGATGATTCGACGTCCAGTGGTTGTGATCGAATATATCCAGATTGATGAGCCTGGAGATGATTTTCAAGTACTCAGCAACTCTCAACAATTCACTCCTCACAGTTGAACATGAAACTTCTCGATACCTTGCGGTGCTTAGACCGCAGGTCTTGTTGAGGGCGTAATTTCTCCAGTTGTCATCAAATATTATCGTGTTCTTCACAGAATACCTCGGGAACTTTTTCCAAATGAGGTCCAACGCCTTGACGTAAATGTAGTCATCGAACTTCCAACTGAAAACGGGAACCATCGCCTCTCCCTCCAGACAGAAGGCGATTTTGAAATTGACATTTTCCTGGAGTTTCATTATTTTAATTCTGCTCTCCAGGAAGTCCCGAGTGCTAGCCGTCCACAGAACGATGTCATAGTGCTCGTAGACACTGGTGAACATTTCGTCTACGAAATCCCTGGGAGTTCCGTCGTGGCACGTTAAAGTGTAATCTACATCCACAACCAGGAGTTTTTTTTCTCTCCGAGGCGGATTCACTATAATTATTTTGTAATTTTCTAGGATATTGTCGATTCCACGCAACACATCTTCGGAATTTTCTATCTCTAGGTCCTCGAATCTGTCCCCATCATAAATGTGATTAACGTTCTGGGGGGCATTTCTACTTTCAATTAAATTCATTGCAATCGTTGGGAGTGAGTGAATGAACTAGCGATTCTTTAAATACTAAAAGGTACTGCTAAAGGACTTGATTGTGGTTTCCTTGTAATGAAA